TTGCCTATAACAAGAAAACTCCACCCAAAGAAATGAAAGCCATACCTCAAGCTGCGTGCACACATTTTTCATATCAACAGTGGGAACACCTAAACATTTGATCCTCACTGCCTCAGCATGTTTCCAGTGATTATAGATATCATTTAACATATTGTGAGTTAAACCATCTCTTCCTACGAACGCATAGAAGTTATGTAGTTAGAAGAAAATGCAATTATCCCAACGGAGCCATTCAATATAGAGATCGTATTATCAGATGCCTCAGTAATTTAAGCACAGAAAATAAGATTATCTCAATATCCATGAAGCATCTATCAATTAGAAATGATGAGAAAACAGCGTCCAAGATCAACAATTTTATATGTGCAAACAATAGATTAATAGAACTTGGTATCACATACCCAAATTAATCTGCCTCTTTGTTTTCTTCTTTTGACAAGTTTCCACCAAAGTCTTTCTCTCGGCTCCTGTCAGTGGCTCCCCTTGAATATTCTCCCACATGACCCTTCTCTTCTCTTCCAGTTTTGGATCTTCCGTGCTCTCTAGAGAGCTCACCTTCGGGTCCACCGCCGGGGCACACACCCCAGTCCATTTCCGGTCAAGCCGCCCAGGCCCAAACGGTGAAAACTTCGGTTCTCGAAGCCCGATAGGCCTCACCGAGAGGCTAGTCTCCGTGTAACTGTACTGGAAATCAAATGGCAAGTCTGAATGCTTTGGCTTCTTGTCAGCGAGATCGAGCGACGATGGTGGTTTGTACCGCGGTTTCAGTGGTTTGTTTTGCCGCGGTTTGAGCTCCGGCGGTGGGGGTTTAGGGGAGAGAGAAGGTGGAGATTCAAAAGCGTAGTGATCCCGGAGTTTGGAGTAGCAGAAACATCGATTGGAAGGTGTATGAGGATGAGCAAACGGAATTGGATTCTGGCGGAAGAGTCTGATAACGAACATGAGGTAGATTGCGCATGGATGAACAATGTCGCGCGACCGGAAATGGTTTAGGGTTTATCGGCGAAATCGGTTTAGACTTTACAGTATTATGAAATTCGCGGTCTTTTATTTTTTATTTTTCCTTTTTTTATATTTTTTTAATGGGTAAATAACTAGTTTACCCTTTATTTCATAATTTTTTTCTACTGGGCCACGATTTTAAGGCCCAAACCCGAGTATGTGAGTTTTTAGGAAGATGGGCCTGAGCCCACTTTTCTCACAGGCTACTGGGCCTATTCAAATGGAATAGGCCCAAACATCCAAATTAATGAATAATTCTTATTTTCAATAAAATCAATAATATTTTATAAAAAAAAATATGTAATATAATGTTTAATATATTTTTTAAAAATTCAAAATTTCAATATATATTTATTTAGTTATTAACAATTAATCTCTATTCGATGTCTCTTTTACCCCCTTCGAACGACCCGGGAGCAAATTCTCCATTGAAAGGAGGACAAAAGACGACCATCTCGAGGCACAACACAACGTATAGGTAAGATCGACGAGACTTAGAAAGGCAACTCGTTTGGAAGTCGTATGATCCATAGTATCTACAGCCTCCACGGACTGAATATTCATCGTTCTAGAAAGCAGGGGTCTCTTTTTTGCAACGAAAAAACGGAGCCAATTTGACTCGGCACAATCTAACGATGCATTCAATACCAGTAATATGTGCACGAGTTTAGGTCGATAGAGCTACTAGACACTTTTAAACTTATAAACAATACTCAACTGATCGAACCCGAGCAAGGATCGATATTGGACGGTGAATATTTGATCTTAAGAGGAATTTGGAAGGGGAGGAAAATAGGCTCGTGGAGTGATCTCCCGCCGGAACATTTCTAAGAACGATTTAGGTTATCCAGTCAAAATACTCCCAACCTTTCACGCCGTAGAAAATGGCGTCGCCGGTTGAATCCCGCCGTCCCGAACTCCGCAAGGACTCTGTTACGAATCGTTGGGTCATATTCTCACCCGCACGAGCTAAACGGCCCTCCGATTTCCAATCGAAATCCCCAGCTCCTTCTTCTTCCGATCCTCCCCAAACGTGCCCCTTCTGCATCGGCCAAGAGCACCACTGCGCTCCCGAGATCTTTCGATTTCCTCCCCAAAACTCCGATTGGAAAGTTCGTGTCATTCAGAATCTCTATCCTGCTCTCAGTAGGGACAAGGATCTCGATTCTTCGGCTTCCTTGTGCTCAGATTCTCTCGTCTGGGGTTGCCTTTTGGACGGCTATGGATTCCACGATGTCATTATTGAGTCCCCTGTTCACTCGGTTCACCTCTCTGATTTGATCCCCGAGGACGTCGCTCAGGTTCTTCTCGCTTATAAGAAGCGGATTCTACAGCTCGCAGGCGATGACAGCATCAAATATGTTCAGGTTCTTGTTCTTCTTTCTCCTTTCTTTAATTTTTTTCTCTGCAAAATGCTCGTTTCTGGGGATTTTGAGATGATTTTCCATCTGGTTTCTTCTGCGCTGTGCCATTTTCATTTCGTCGAACACGTGGGGTGCATCAAGATTTTGAATTGCTATCTGGTTTCATTCTGTTGATTCGATAGGTGTTTAAGAACCACGGTGCCTCAGCTGGGGCATCCATGACCCACTCCCATAGTCAGATGGTGGGTCTTCCAGTCATTCCTCCCTCTGTTTCTACTCGACTTGATAGTATGAAGCAGTATTTCAATCAGACGGGGAAATGCAGCATCTGTGATGTTCCTATAAAGGACCTTTTGGTTGATGAATCAGTCCATTTCATTTCAGTTGTTCCTTATGCAGCCTCGTTTCCTTTTGAGCTCTGGATCGTTCCCCGTGACCATGTTTCTCATTTCCACGAGCTGGATCAGGAGAAGGTAAGTCAAATCTTAAACTATATAAGTTTGGCTCTGAGTAATATTATGTCTATTTAGTAGCTATATCCATTTTGGAACCTATCTTAAAGTGTTTTTTATTTGTGTCTAATAAGACTCATTAGTTATTCCAATTTAATGCTTACATCGTCAAATGCTTGAATACTAAATTGGGTTAGACACAATGTGAGATCTCACATCGGTTGAACGAAACATGGCTTATTAGGGTGTGGAAGCCTCTCCCTAGAAGACAGGTTTTAAAACTTTGTGGGGAAGTCCGAAAGAGAAAGCTCAAAGAGGACAATATCTACTAGTGGTTGGCTTGGATGGTTACAAATGGTATAAAAGTCAGATACTGGGCAGTGTGCTAGCGAGGACGTTGGGCCCCAATGGGAGTGGATTATGAGATCCCATGTTGGCTGGAGAGGAGAACGAAACATGACTTATTAGGGTGTGGAAGCCTCTCCCTAGAAGACAAGTTTTAAAACTTTGAGGGGAAGTCCGAAATAGAAAACTCAAAGAGGACAATATCTACTGATGGTTGGCTTGGACAGTTACAAATGGTATAAGAGTCAGATACTGGGCGGTGTGCTAGCAAGGATGCTGGCCCCTAATGGAAGTGGATTATGAGATCCCATGTTGGCCGGAGAGGAGAACGAAACAGTACTTATAAGGGTGTAAAGACCTCTCCCTAGAAGATGCGTTTTAAAACTTTTGAGAGAAAACCCAAAAAGGACAATATCCACCTGTGAGCTTGGACTCTTACACAATTGAGAATTCGAATGTTTTAAACTACATGAACCGGATAGGCACAGCTTAGAACTTCAAGGATCAAACATGTAATTTTAAGATAATTCAAATCATTACATTCATTTGATGACCACAACAAAGTATGATGCTGACTGATTCATGTGCAGTGCAGGCTGTTGACCTTGGTGGGCTATTGAAAGTGACACTCATGAAGATGTCTCTGCAGCTGAACAAACCACCATTCAACTTCATGATTCACACTTCTCCCTTACAGGCTTCGGAATCAGATTCAGCTTACAGCCACTGGTTTTTGCAGATTGTTCCTCAGCTCTCTGGTGTGGGGGGGTTTGAACTTGGAACTGGTTGCTACATCAATCCCGTTTTTCCAGAGGATGCTGCTAAGATCATGAGGGAGGTTAACATTTCAATATAGGCGCAGGCCCTGGTACGTTCTATTATGATATCTCCCTTTTATTTTATTTTCCGTGTGAGATTAGAATTGGCCTATCTTTTTCATGAAGAAAATGTTGAGTTCATCATACAATTTGACATATTTGCATGAAATGAGATTGATCCATAGTTTTATATTGTGAAAAAAATCTTTTCTATGACTTCATTTGGATGTTTCTGGGTAATTCTTCACGAGTAGGGGCTACTTGTTTGTTGGTGATTCTCCTATTTGGTACTAAGAGCGAGATCTTGCACTTCGAAATCTAATCTACTCGGGATGGATATTGCCTAGGAAACACAAATAAAACAACCAAACTCGATACGAGACATGTACATGGTGACACTCATTTCTAAAAATTATTAGAGCACAAACACAATATTGAAACGTTTATTATAGCATACATTTTAATATATATTATTTTTATAGATTGAAATGTTTATTGTAGTTTAGGATGCTTCTAATTCATGATCTAAAGTTATTGTCAAAATTGATACATCACAAACGCATCAATTTTCTATTGAATTAACAACTTTGAGAGAGAAGATGCAAGTGTATATCCATAAATATTAGTTCTCTAAGAAGAAAAAGGTTGAAGACGCCTAATACATACATTATGGTATCTCTGTAATCCAGGTTCTTGGAGTCTGCCATTTTTTTCCTCAATAAACAAGCTTTCATCAACCTCCAATGGTTAAATCATACAATATATATTGAAATTGATCCGTGTACATTGAAATTGTTCAAAAAAATAGGATATAAATTGACATGGTGGTGCGTGATCGTAAAAATGGAAGACCTATGTGACCTCATTTACAATTCAATTTCAGCTATTTTGAACATTGAAATTGTTATCATCAGAGCATGTGGAGAAGCCATCTACTGAAATTGTATAGTTGAGAGGCATCCTTCTTACATTTATAACATGGGATTTGGGGGAAAAATACAATAAAAAAGTATCCTAATTTAAACCAATGGCCTTCTTTCTTCATCTTTTTCACTTTCTATTTGAGGAGTCATTTCATTGTCATTGTTAGCAGGTCTGGAAGTTCTGGCATTTGAAGAGGCTCTGTTTTTGGGCTTGTAATCAGGTAAGAGCTTCAGCGAGATCCCCATGCCTATGAGCAGCAGACCAGTCGCATGTTGTTCGCTTAATGGCTTTGTGAATATCAAGTAAGATAGCAATAATGTCACTGCCTTTCTAGCAGTTGTTATCTGTGGCAGAATTCAATTGTTTTGAGTTGCTACTACGAGGATCGCAATAATTCAAAGTTTAAATCATCTTCTCATTCTTTAAAATCTATGTTTATTCCATTTTCAAAAGATCCATTCTAATCCTAGATATTTATGGATCAAAGCAAATGATCGAAAAGTTTATGACCTAACTAGGACTTAACAGTTGCACTCAATGTGATTCACTGATCATATCTTCTGTTTTGGAATGCTGAAACTGAGAGAGAATCATTTCTGAAAATGGTTGAAAGAAAAAGCTAGGACAACATTGATGTAGTGGGCATTTATGACATGCTTGAAAAATGCATTCAAAACTTCCTACCATTGCACATGGAGGAGTGTCAAGTAAAGTGTGAAATGGTTTAAGAAGTGAATAGTACCATGGCTGTAGTAGCTGCCCCAAATAGGGCAATGAGTGAAAGAACAGAGACTTGGCCGACGTAGGTTGCCATGGCTTCAAAAATTAACACACCGTATACGTATTTGTGCTGCATAAAACATGGTATTCTTAGAATGTGGGTTTCACTTAGCACAATAGGGGATGAAAAGAAGGAAGAAAAGGGAGAAAAAGGTAGGAGAAAATGCAGTTCTAGAGAGAGAGAGAGCTAACTGTTACCTGAGAACATGAAGTCCATGCTTTAAACAATTCTCCAGTGAGAAGCATGGGTGGGATCAGGAAAGGCAAGCCAACTACAGTAGAACAAAAGAGCATCTCCATCTGTTTGGTCAGTTTGGAATCAGCTTTCTTTTTCACATGTAACCAACCACAGAAACATGGATAGGACAGTGAGGAATCACCTGTGTGGTTTCAGGATTCATGGTAAAGATGGCTTCTTGCAGATTTCCAAGAAATGAGTCCATGATTAGCGCACCCGATATCATGACCACGCCAAGAATACTGAAGTTTGGAGATGTTTGTGCATCTGCTAAAGTGAAGATGATCAAACCCACAACCAAAAGTACAGCAGAAACGTATTCATGAGCGGGATATTTTCGTCTGAGGCCGGGTATGAAGGCACCCATTATCATCACTGGCAAAACCTGAAACATCAAAATCTTCATTAGCTTCAGGTGACGAATTGACGAAACCATGTACCAAGTTTCTAATCTTTTTCAATTTTTAGTTTTATAAAACCTTTGATTTATCCTATTTATAATGTTTTATTCCCTCCCAGTTTCACGCAAGTAATACAAGTTTTGACGGCATGATGCCTAAATAATGTACTTGCCTGAATTACAAACTTGTGATCTTTCATAAATGCTTTAAAACTACTGTTCAAATTTTGGATGAAATTGAAACTAGTGTGGCAATGACATGGAATAGAGTAATGGTGTTCGAGTCCCAAATTTTGTTTTTGTTTCAAGTCATTGCACACCATTTTAGATCCTAATTTTTGCCCTGCATTCAAAATAATTTATGCCCAAATGGTAGTTTTAGAATAATTTTGAATGATCAAAGGTAATATTGCACGATATGAGTACTTTTCCTTTTTTGTAATTTAGTAAATATTACAAAGTTGGAAGTACTATGCATACACAACCATCAAATAAAAAATCTACCCACTGCATGATCTTATAGTATTAGCTTAAATGAATCCATTGCATAATACAAATGACAGCCTCATAAAAAGTATACTTTTTGAATTTTTAGTAACTATGAGGACTTAATTGGAGAGGGAAAAGTCAACTCAGAAAAAAGAAATTAAAATTCTAAAAGACCAAAAAAGATGAAACTAAAAATTTTAAAAGCTTTTAGATCAAGAACAAACATTTAGAAAAAATAATAAAAAGGCTAACTATTCAATTCATTGGATGGATGCTATACTTACCAATCAACATAAAATTCAATCACAACAAGCTATCACATCATTTCTCGCGAGACATCGGCTAACTATTCAATTCATTGGATGGATACTATCCTTATTGATGAACATAAAATTCAATCATGACAAGCTATCAGATCGTTTCTCGACACTAGACATCAACTTGCAACGACCCGTTGGTTTTTAGTATCTATTGAGAAATCCGAAACAAACAAAATTTCAAGGCAGATTTACCTTTGTAGATTTGAACATGAGCTGAGCAGGATAGTTAAGAAAGGCCAAAGACCCCTTGGTGAGGCCATGGGAACCCATCAACACAGCAGAAAGCTTGACATAAGTCTTCCAAGGGTTCACCATATGCTTGGCAGTGAAGCCTTGGAGGTATATCAGAAACAGATACACAAATCCTTGAATAAATGTGAAGTACCATCCATAGCTACACCAATAAACACATAATAACATAATAAATTGGGGATATGAAACCTCAAATGGAATGTTATATGAAGTTTCTGTCAAAAGGCTCACCTGAATTGCAGCTTGTTATAGACATATTCCTAGAAATTAGGCAGACATGGAGATTCAGTTCACTTGAATTTGGAAAGATTTCATGTAATAATATAATTTAGCCGCAATTCTTTGATTTGAAAACGAAATGTAAGTGAAGAATATTCAGGTTGAATGCCAAAATCAAAGAGTATCGAGTTTTCTGAGTGGTTTTCTTTCCCCGAAACTTCATTTTCTCGAGAAACAAACGCCAAACAAACACAAAATCCTTCCAATCAAACACTAAAACTAAAAAAAGAAAAACCGTAGAAATCCACTGATTAGTCCAGCATTTTCTCAGGAACCAAACAGAAAGGGAAAACACGAAAAATACCTCACAGATGCCGTTAACTAAATAGCCGAAGAAAAATCCAGAAGAGCAAATGAGGAACTGGTGCCATTTAGGCCTATCCGTGAGGGAAATCCCAAACAGAGTCCGAATCTGCTCCTCGTTCTTCATAACGCCGATCTTCCCCCAATGAAAGAGGCGGAAAGAGGTCAGAAACGGCAAAATGAGGAAAGAATCAGAGAAACAAAAATCGATGGAATCAAGAACAGGAATCGAGCATAACGTTGGAGGGTGAAGGAACTTGCATGTTAGAGAGAGAAAATCGATTGAAGAATGGGTTATAAAGAAACGTAAGCGATGGGGACGGTGGCGAGGACTGGAGCTCTATTCACGTTACACTCTAAGCTCTGCGCTGGCCTTTCTCGTAATGCACACATACACGCACACTAACTCATGACACACAAAAATTAGTCCAAAAAATGCCTTAAACTATTTATTTTACCCCTAATCATAATTATAACTTTTTTTTTTCTTCAATTTTATTCCCTTTTATTTTAAAAATTATAAGTAATCCCTTTTATTTTTATATTTTTTTAATTTAATCTCTCTAAAAAAATTGGTTGCTCGAGCCAGAATGTGATGTCCCACGTTAGTTGGGGAGGAGAACAAACCACCATTTATAAGGGTGTGGAAACCTTCTCTAACATACCGATTTTAAAGCCTTGAGGGGAAGCCAAAAGGGAAAACCGAAAGAGGACAATATATGTTAGCGGTGGATCTGGGCCGTTACAAATAGTATCAGAGCCAGACACCGGACGATGTGTCAGCCTTCTCGCTATTCCCCGAAAGGGGTAGACACGAGGCGGTGTGCCAGTAAGAACGCTGGGCCCAAAGAAGGGTGGATTTGGGGCCGGTTCCACATCGACTCGATTGTGATGTCCCACGTTGGAGAGGAGAACAAACCACCATTATGTACTAATTCTCTTAAAATTTAAGGTTCAAATAACGATTATATTTATTATTTTTTTCAAAATTATAAAGCTAGGTTTCGCAGTTATTTTATTTAAATTTTAAAATATTATATATAGAATTTAAGTCACGTTAAAACTTTTTTTTTTGTTTTTTAAATTTGGCTAATAATCGTATTTTCAAAATTTCTAAGTTTTTTTTAGTTCTTTAATGATTTTTTTTTTTAATTTAGGAAGTATTATTAAAAAAATAATTAAACATTAGAAATTTAGACATATATTTAACTAAAAAAATATTAAATTTTTTATACATTCAACCCTATAAAATTATCAGCAATATTATTATTATTGTTTTGTTATTGTTTTAGTATAATAAGTCGACATTTTGACGAGGTTAATAATATAAGGTGCTGGATACAAGGATTGACTCTGACTTTTGACTTTTTTGCGCCACAGTCTATTTGGGCCGTTCGATCATCCCTTTTTGATCCGACGGCTGGATGGAGACTTGAGTATTGTGGATTTGCGCGTGCTGAATCTAAGCTTTTTTGCCGTGTCCTTTACATACACGGGGAGCAGGGGTAGATAAGTAATTTCACGTTTTACAGTTTTATATAACCAAAAATGAAGGGACATTAATACCATAAAAGAAGAAGTAAATGTGGGACTAAATTTTAGCTTTTTTTTTCTTTTTTTTTTTTAGTTATTTTTTAAAAAATTTATGCTTAGGTATTTTAGTATTGTCATTTATTTTATTTTTTTTCAATATTCAGCAATAATTTTAGACCAACTAATGTTCGATTATAGATTATTTACAAAAATGGTTAATGAAATATTAACATTTCCTTATTCAGTCATTGATTAGTAAACCTCCGATATTGGTAAGGTCGGTATTGTGGTCATACATCTCTGATTTGTCGGCTGATAAGATCTTTGAGATTGACTAGCCAACTGGGTTGGTTTGGCCGTTCCTTTCTATTGACAAGGAGTCAGTTGTCTGTTCGAGTCACCTTCTTCTAGCTTCATTGGACAACACGACATTCTCGTTCAAATATAGGTCGGTTATACTTGTGATGGTTCCAAAGGATCCAATATGACCACTTAAATCTACATTGCCAAGATATTGTTTTGTAGAATTATGCGAGTAGAAATTCGACCCGAATTTTTTTTTTAGCGTCATAGGAAAAGGATTGACTTTTTTGACGCGGTCCTACATGCATGTCTCCACTTATTTTGGTAGGAGCAAGAATACTCTTAATGTATTGAACATAAATTTATTACACTTTTTTAGGCATTGAATTTCAAGAAATTTATTATCAAATTTAAGTTATGAGGTAAAAAAAAGTCAACTATCAGAGCTCCTTTCCAAATACATGCTAAAATATAGAGTAAAATTGATTGTGACATGCTAAATCAAACGGGTAATTTATTTGTCTACTACAGATCTTCATCTCATACTACCTTGTAAATTGAAAACCCATAATTATAATTCCTACGAAAGTACCGTTTTATTTAAATGTACATGTTTGAATGGTTCCGATTAATCTCGTCTTTTGTGATAAGGATCAGTATGATCTTTATAAGATTCATCCTCCATATGAAATTCAACGAAATTCAAAGAAACGACGAATCAATAGAGTTTCGAGCCCTGAATACTTGAATCAATCAAACGTTCAATTATCTTAATAATACTAAATTTTGACTCGATAAAAAATTAAATCACAAGAGAGGTTAGGTAAACGGCGAGCATTTAGGTTTAGAGTATTTAAAAAGAAAAAAAAAATCTCCCATAGGGATTGAAGAAATAAAATAAACTTTGAGAATAGAGATTATTTAAATAACAAGCAATGGGGCATTTAAATACTCACTTTTACCTTTCCCAATGACCTCATTGGGTAAACCCAATTTAACCTTTTCTCTATTTCTAACTAATTAATTAATTTTCAACATCATTTGGTAAAATAATACAATAATATTAAAAAAAAAAAAAAGTCAAATATACTTCTCTGACTCGGAGATCGGAGAAATATATTTTTTAGACTTTTTTTTTTTTTTTTCTTCACTTAAGAAAAACGACGTCGTTGCAACAGATTCTCACACACACCATCATATCAACGCAACCACTACAAACCAAGCGGCAATCGGCCTTGTTGGCCATTGGCCTCGTGCCGTCCTCCAAAAAGATAATGGTGGCACACATGGGTCTCAGTTACTTCCCCTCCTCTTCCCCTTCTCTGTTTCGTCGTCCTCCTCTCTCCTCCGCCAAACGCCGACCATTTGCCGGTGAGTTCAATTCTGAACATAACCTACACTGGTTAGCTGCAGATCCACTTCATTGTTTCCTTCAATTTCCAGTTTTGTTTCAATTTCGTGTTTTTCCATTCTAAATTTGAGTTTGAGGGGTTTGTGTTCTTTGTAAGATGAGCACTTTGGGATGGGATTGTAGCCTTGTGCATTGCCATTCTGTTCTGTTTCATTTCCTTTGATGATTGAGTTATGTTAATGATGCTTTTCTTATATTGTTTTGAGATTTTTGGTTTTGGTGTTTTGGGGATATCAGAGATTCCCAGTTTATATTTGGGTTTCTTTGGATTATTGTAAATTTCAGTACCTGATTCCATCTATATGCCATTACTGCTTTTAATGGTACTTGCCTTCTGCCTGTGAAAGTTTCTTTACATACTTCTGTCCATTCCAATTACTGATGTCGGTGGAATTTAGAGGTCATATACAACCGCACGACCCCATCACTTGTTGATACTGTCCTTTTTGGGTTTTCCCTTTCGGCCTTCCCCTTAAGGTTTTCTCTTTGGGCTTTCCCTTTCGGGTCTTCCTTTAAGGTTTTTAAGATGCGTTTTAAAATCGTGAAACTGACGGCGATATGTAACGGGTCAAAACAGACAATATCTGCTAGCGGTGGGTTTGGGTTAGTTATAAATGGTATCAAAGCCAGATACCAAGCAGTGTGCCAGCGAGGACGTTGGCCCCCAAAGGGGTAGATTGTGAGATCTCACATTGGTTGTAAGGCAGAATGAAGCATTTTTCGTAAGGGTGTGAAAATCTCTCACTAGTGGACGAGTTTTAAAACCTTGAGGGAAAGTCCAAAGAAGACAATATTTACTAGCACTGTTACATTATTCTCTCTGAAAGCATGCAGAAGTTTGATATTAATGAACTCTCTAGGTGACATGAGTTGATTGAACTTCTCATTCTGAATGGTTTCAGTTGCAGCAATGGGAGATGATCCTATAAAAGAATGGATTCTCTCTGAAGGAAAAGCAACACAGATAACAAAAATTAGCCCAGTTGGTGGTGGTTGCATCAACCAGGCAAATCGCTACGACACGGATGCTGGGTCCTTTTTTGTAAAAAGGAATAGGTAAGAACTCTTGAGTTCTTATAGTTGACAGATGATAAAAAGAAGTGAGAGAAATTATGAGCAGTTATGTAACTCACTCAGGAGCATTGGACCCTCAATGTTTGAAGCAGAAGCTCTTGGTTTAAGTGCAATGTACGAAACGCAAACTATCCGTGTTCCTAAACCATTCAAGGTTTGAAGAATTTCAGTTCCGGGAAGAGTTATACTCTATTATCCAGTCATTGTTCCTTCATTAAAGTTGTAGTTCTTTCATCCATTGCTTGACTACAAATAAGAACTGAACTTATTTTACTCATTACAGTTCGGATCATTACCTTCTGGTGGCTCATACATCATTATGGAATTCATAGAATTTGGCTCCTCCAGAGGCAACCAGGTAAGAAATAGATCATCCTCTTTTTCGTTGGAATCGAAACGATGAATATGGCAACAGAACTTAAATCTACCCTTTACTGACCTCAGTTTGAGCTGGGAAGAAAGCTTGCTGAAATGCACAAAGCTGGAATATCTGACAAGGGATTTGGGTTTGATGTCAACAACACCATTGGCAGGTGAGTTCTTGTGAATCCTATCTGCTAGTGCTGTAAGTATATGCACAGGTCATAGATAAGTACCATTATCAGCAATTGAAGCAGCGTTTTATAAGTGAGTTCTTATTCTCTTTGTATGTCTTATGTTCCTAGTACTCCACAAATAAACACTTGGTCATCGGATTGGGTACAGTTTTATGCGGAGGAAAGATTGGGATTTCAGCTGAGGCTAGCACTTGACCAGTATGGCGATAGAACCATTTATGAGAAAGGTAAACATCGCGTTTTGGAGAATGGCACTAATGTCTGTCTGGTTGACATTCAACAATATAACTTCTCCAAATAATGTCCGAAACGAAAATGAGATTTTCTTTTAGCAGTATGTTGACCGTGTTTTCGATCTTAGTTTTGTGTGATAAAAAGGCTTTTATGATCTTGCCATATGTTCCAAAAGGGGTAATATAACCCTTGATTGCCTTTGAAGATTTGGTGTTCAGATAGGTATTACAAGATTTAGTAACTTGTTATCATCACTTGAAGATGATGAATTATGGCTTTCTTTGTATAGACAGCTGCCCTTGGCTATCTTTCTGATTGAGCTTTATGTTGTTTTTGCATTTAACAGGACAAAGGCTGGCAAAAAGTATTGGACCTCTGTTTGATAATGTCACGATCAAACCGTGTTTGCTACACGGGGACTTATGGAGTGGAAATATCAGCTCTGATAAGAATGGAGAGCCTGTTATACTTGACCCAGCATGTTATTGTAAGTTCAACTTTCCTCATACTTCATGCATCTGCAATTACCAAAATAATGCTTGGATACGAAAAGATCAGTGATATCGAAATGAATCCCTCGGAAGTAGAAGTAGAGAACAACATAGTAGATCTTTGGCGTAGATGAATCAAAGTCGAAATGCTCCTACCTCTTATTCAATTGGGTTTTTAGCATTTCTTTCTATTTTTATCGTTACATTTTTATCCAAAGAACTAGTCCAGGAGAGGTCTAGAGCTTCAACAACTTATCTTTAAAAGAAGTCGTTTATCTTAGCAAGTGTTTGGTTTCTAAGACTACATTTTTCAGATGGACACAATGAAGCAGAATTTGGAATGTCATGGTGTGCTGGCTTTGGAGGTTCCTTTTATGATGCTTATTTTCAGGTACTATTGTTTTCCAAGTTAATAGATTCCTGATTCCTCTTTATTTGTTTCCCGTGAGATCCCACATTGATAGGAGAGGAGAACAGAGAATTTCTTATAAAGGTGTGGAAACTTCTTTATAGTAGACGCGTTTTAAAACCTTGAGAGAAAGCCCAAAGTGGACAATATCTTCTAATGGTGGATTTGGGCGGTTACAAATGGTATCAGAGCTAGATATCGAGTGGTGTGCCAGCAAGAATGCTGAATCCCCAAGAGGGGGTGGATTGTGAGATCCCACATTGGTTGAGGAGAAGAATGAAGCATTCCTTATAAGGGTGTGGAAACTTCTCCCTAGTAGACGCGTTTTAAAACTTTAAGAGAAAGTACAAAGAAGATCATATCTGCTAATGGTGGGCTTGGAGGGTTACATTTCCCCTATTCACATTATGATCTTCTTACAAGTTAGAACCGATACTACTTTTCCTTTGCCTATTCAGCTCATGCTAACTAGTTTTTACATTTGAAATGTTTGGTCGTTTTGTCCAGGTTATGCCCAAGCAACCTGGTTTTGAGAAGAGGAGAGATCTTTATCTGTTGTATCATTATCTGAACCATTACAATCTCTTCGGTTCCGGGTACCGTTCATCTGCCATGTCTATAATCGACGACTATCTGCAGATACTTCAAACTTAGAAATGATTTTTCAAGTGAGATTTGTTTGAAGGTTCCTAGCTCATAGTCGATTTTGCCGATGCCAGTTGTACCTAGAGCTCTACAGTATGTATATCCATTTCTCCCTCCTATTCATGCTTCTAAGCGACATTACTGATTTCTTTATATATTTCCCAATTTCAGTAATCCAAAAGCAGCTAAAAGAAATCAGCATCATACATAGCTTAAATAACTAAGAGATAATTCAGATAGACACGGACCTTGGAATTGAGAGCTCTTGGATTAACTCCTCCTCCAATTCTTACTGTTGCAGCGGAGCGAGTTAGAAAAAGAGTTGCCGGCTGCCGCCGTGCGCTGGCGGTGGCAGTACTCGCCGGAAAATAGGATTTAGGGCTTCGCTAGATCTCGCGGCTGAAAATGGCGGGAGGAAGAGAATTGGAAGGGGCGGTTGAAATTGGCGACTAATTCATCGGAATAGGCTGGAATTGCTAATATTCTTTATGCAATTAAAATAAATTAGAGTAGATATTCTCTATTTTAGCCTATTATGTATCGTCATCAATCTCATGGTTTTAAAATGCAGCTACTATGGAGATCATCTAGTCCTACTTCGACCCGTATCTCGTATTGTCCGACTCTAATACCATTTATAACAGCTCAAGCCCACTGCTAGTAGATATTGTTCGCTTTGGCCCATTATTGTCAACCAGACACGTCTTATGAGGCTGACTACGATAGGTAACGAGTCAAAGTGAGCAATATTGAGTAGCGGTAGGCTTGAACAATTAAAATATATCAAACAGTTTATACATCTTCATCTTCAAACAATTGAAATTTTAAATCTCATGCACTCGAGATGGTTCCAAAATGCTGAGTTTAATGTCTACCAAATACCGAGTGAACTAATTTGATTAATCGAACACTTTAATATTAGTCATTATCAAATTTGATCTAAACGACACACATGATTAATAGAAATGAGTGAGAGAGATAATCAAATGTTAATCTTAATTAAAGACTTAATTAATTAAAGAGTCCAACCTCTAAAGCAAGTTGCGATGGCTCCCGAAGTGATTTCCCTATCCAAATCAAAACGACGCAGTTCTGGAGCCCACAAAAGTATAATTCTCCATCCAACTGCAATATTCCAAATTTAAACTTTTTTGTCATTTTCATTAATTATTTTATATTGCCGGATTTTTTTTTTATTTTATTTCCAATTTAACGTTCCGTTTTCGCAAGCCGACAAAATCGAACGGCCCGTTTTGTGTCGGCTTCCTCGTGTACCTTTCAACCTACGGAGCCGAGCCGAGCCGAGCCATATAGCCCGTTTTGTAATTTAACTTTTTTTTTTTTGTGAAAAAATAAATTTTAAATATTTATTAGATAATTAAATTATTTAAAGAGCATTTTAATTAAAAAGAAGGTAGTAAAGAAATCAGTTTAAAATATAATATAATTAAATTATTTAAAGAGCATTTTAATTAAAAAGAAGGTAGTAAAGAAATCAGTTTAAAATATAATATATTAAGCATTTGTTTGATTAGTGTATAAAATTCTTATAAACAAACATTTGAATTTGGAAGGTTGTTTCATAATAAAATTAAAACCATATAATTATTTATAATAAAAAAATGTAAATTATTGAGGGAATCAATATCCATTTAGCCACTGAATAATATTTATATATATGAGAATTAAAGTTGCTTCTTGTCCTCTTCCCGCCAGCACTCTAGTGGTTGTTTTAGTTCTCTTTTCACCATTTTAGCCTTTCATATTTAACAACTAAATATATAAATGTTAAAAAGAACGTACAGACCGAATAAAACATCAATTATCATTTCAAATGTTAAGGTTCAATTTTCATTCTCGTAATTATTTGAACGGAAAAAAGTTTTAATATGTAATAAGATAAAAGCTTAAATTTTAAACTCATATTCATTTTATTTTACAAAAATATATTTAAACTTTTAAAATTTTAATAATTATATTTTTAAAATGTCTCCAAAATGGTACTTAAATTAAAAAAAATATTGAATTTTTAGAATATTTGTATTTTTCAGAATATTTGTATTTTTTTAAAAATTAATGATTACTAATGAAACTTTTTTAAATTGATTAGACTTGTTATTGGTATACTCGAGTCTCTAGCCCGATTCAAAAAGAAAGTTTTAGAAAATGGAGGCAGCGAGGTTTTAAAAGCAAGATTTTAAGAAATTAAAATTTGTGTTATATGGAAATATAAGCAAAAGGCAACAATAACAGCTTACTGCATATAACTATCTGGGAGTGAGAAGTTGATAAAGTTATTTTTGAAACAATATTAAATAAATAAATAAATAAATAAATATATATATATATATATATTTAAATTTAAAGGTATTATTGAAACTTTTGAAAAATATAGATAATTTTGAGATAAAATACAAAATTTACGAGTGTTTTTATTAATTTAGCCTAATAAGATTAAATATATATTTTAATCCTTAATATTTAAATATTTTTTTAATTTCAACAATGGAATAATATTAAAAATTGGTATTAAAATAAACATAATTTTTAAAAACAAAAATAAAATCATAATAAAAAGACCTTAAATTAAATATAGAAATTAAAATGAAGAAATTAAATAATTATGGTCGATAAAACAGAACAAAAGCTAACAATAATTGAATTGAGATGGGTATATGCCCACCAAATGATCCAAAACTTCTCATTAATATAAAAACCCATCAAAACCCTTCATCTTCTTCAAAATTCAAAAACCAACAAATCAATCCCACCAATTTTCCGATGGCCGCCGGCAGAGAACCCAAAAGATCCGCCGCACTCTCCCGCTGCCAACCCGGTAAATCGCCGGCACGGCGGTTCGTCGGAGTCCGGCAGCGGCCGTCCGGCCGCTGGGTGGCAGAAATAAAAGACTCATCTCAGAGAGTCCGGCTCTGGTTGGGCACTTACGACACCCCAGAGGAAGCCGCCAGAGCCTACGACGAGGCCGCCATTGCCCTTCGCGGCGAGAATACAAGGACCAATTTCGTATCTCCGACGATCGGCCGGTCATCGGAACAAAAAATTCCCGACATCGGCGTGTTGAAAGCGAAACTTAGTAATATTACAGCGAGAACGAACGAACAGAGCAAATCGTTGAAAAACAGAGTAAGCGATCGGTTCACTTTTGGGAACATTTTCAATTTCAGAAGCTACCAACCGGTAACAATGGCGGATTTTACCGCCGTTGATAAGGTGGCCGTGCAGCCGACCATAATTGTGCCGCACGTAGAAACCGATCAGCCCTGTTCGTGGGATGGCAGCTCCGGCGACGGCGATGGATTCCAGCGGCTGGGTTTCGGCTCCGATGGGTCGGAGAGCGGCGGAGAATGGTGGGTGGATCAAATTTTGGGAGATGATTATCGGAATGAAGATTTGAAGAGTAAGAGATTGAGGGTTTCTTCTTCGGTGGTTGTGCCACCAACGTTCAGTGGGTCTCCCAGCTATGGTGAATATTAAATATTTTTTTAATAATGTTAATTTGGGATTAAGAATTTGAAATTATGTGTATATTATTTTAATGAAAAAATGAAAATAATTGGTAAATTACAATTATTTGCTCTAAATTAACAAATTCTCTCTTTTAATTTGTTTTCAAAAATATATTTATAAAATTTTTAAATATTTTTTAAAGTTTTTAAAAGTTTAATAATGTTAATGAAAAAAAATTAATAATAATGGTATTAATAAAAGTTTTAAAAATTTAGAGCTCTATTAAAAAAAAAATTAAGAAAATTATATTTTTAAATAATTTTGAAAAGTTCAATAAAATAAAATCTTAATTATTGTCATTATTAAAATTTGAAAATTTTATATTTTTATAATAAATACAAAATTCATGAGTATTTTAAAAAAATAATAAATTTATAGAAATATTAAAATTTTATTAGTATATATTAATTTAGTCTCTTTAACTTTCAAATAAATATTTAATAAATTTCTAAATTTTGAATTTTGAGGTAAATAGTTAAATAAAAAATTCTAAAAATTAAAAAAATGAGATATAAAATTTTTTATTTTTAATTTATTGATGGGTGTTAAAAAATTAAAATATTGAGAGACAAAAAGAATTTATAATTTAATAAAATATTGATTACATTGAAGTTTCCATATGACTTCTTCATGCCCCATTTAAGTAATAATGATGCCATAATGTTCCATTGTGAAGACTTGCTCCACTTTATATAAATTAAACTAACTTCATATATATATATATATATATATATATATTTCATTTTATGTTTATAATATTTTGATTAATCACATTTTTGGACTAATGATTTGGACTTAAGGCCATTTGACTTATTTTTTTCTTGTATTTTCTTGCTTGGCTATAAGTGGTTAACATGACTTGGCTTGGTAATCAATATAGTCGAGTAAAACTACGTTAGACCTAGCACCCATGATTAAAACAAGAAGAAACGGGGATGATGATGAATAATTAGGGTTTACGACGATCGAACTACCGAGATTTGAGATGATAATTAGTGTTTTATCTTCTAAGTATGTTGGAATCAAAATATCGACCTTTCAAGACTACTACGACCATATATGTTGTATAATAGCTTAAGCTCACTGTTAGCATATACTGTCCGCTTTAATATGTTGCTTCTTGATGTCAGTCTCATGGTTTTAAAATGCGTTTGTTAGACAAAGGTTTCCACACAATGCTTTGGTTATCTCTCCAACCCATGTGAGATCTCACAATCCAATTTCCTTAGGGGCTCAGTGTTCTCGCTGACACACCACATAGTGTCTAGCTCTGATACCATTTGTAATAGCCCAAGCCCACTGCTAACAAATATTATCCGTTTTTACTCGTTATGCATCGTCGTCTACCTCATGATTTTAAAGCGCGCCTGACTGATGGTGATACGTAACGGACCAAAACAAACAATATCTACTAAGGATAGGCTTAAGTCGTTACATGTTGCCAACTTAGGGACAACGTATTCCTAACATATTCATGAATCTGAAAAGAAACGTTAAATAAGTCAAGGGCTTACTAGACACAAAATTGAATATTTATAGATTTATTAAATATTTAATTATTATATTGGAATTAAAAAAATGATTATGATGGGAATAATCCCAACATAATAATCTAAATTTTCATTCCTTTTAAGAATAATAATAATTAATTTCATATAAATTGAAATTACATGAATTAACAATAATTTGATAAAAACCATGCCTCAGACAAGAAGCTTGCGTTGACTTTTAGATGACATTGAGAATTAATTTATGTTATAATGTATTAATAATCATAAGGTCTATTGACTGTGTGCCCCCACAGACATAATATTGCATTTTTCATAATTTTATAATAATCTTTTTTCGGGTATTTATCCCATTACTTTATTTTTATTCATTAATTCATGTGCACATTCATCATAATTTCGGGTCCCTATATTCTATTTATTTAACATAAATATATTTTTCCCTTTTTATTTATTTATTTATTTCAATGTTAAAATTATATATTAAAAAATGATATTTATTAATTAAATTTTTTAAAGTTAAATTACAAATTTAGTTATTAAATTTTTAATATTAACGTTTTTAACTTAAAAATAATAATAACAAATTAATATATATATATATATATATATATATATATATATATATAAAATGAACGTTTAAATAAGTTTCCTTTTGAGTTGTGGTAGAAATAATATAAAACGTACTACTACATAGCTCACGAGAGAGAACCAGTCTTTAATTCAGTAGTATGCTCGGTTCACTAGATTCTATTATAAGGAACTCTAGCCATATGCTTAACACGTGCAAGTAGAACGTTGATTAATAAAAATCTACACCAACGTCGTTAATGATGTGAATTATTATTATTTAAATAGATGAAGAGAGTCGAGAGGGCTTCTGCAATCCATTCTTTAACGACAGGTAGTTCACACTCGACAACACAATGGTCGAGCACGAGACCATTTCAAGAATATTATATGCTTTAAAACCAACCAATTTTTATTTGTTTTCACTGTTTTGGAAAGGAATATACTGTTATTGTTTTCTGTTGATTTCTTTATCACTAATATTCTACAAAAATAAAATATCTTTTACTATTTTTTTTTATTATTTTCTGCTTTTTAATTCTTTATTTTCAAATAATAATAAAAAAAAAAAGTATTTATTCCGGAAAATTTTAAAATTAAATACAAAAATAAATAAAACTGTGTGTGTTATTTTATTTCATTAACAGCCATCCATGGCCTTTCCTACACAGTCACAAGAAGCCCATAGATAAATAATTGTTTACCAGACAGAATCTCAGGCGACGGGACAGTGGGGGCTGACATTTTTGCTGCTATCAGAGAGTTGAATCGGCGTGAGGTTTCAAGAAATTTGATTTTTGAATGCGATTGTCCTTTCCGGCGTCGATTTCTGTCGAAAAAGCTATGGTACTTCTTCCAATTTATTCAAACTTCGGTTTCTCGATCTTCTGTCACTCTGTCCTTTCGTTCTTTTGCTGTTCTTCATCTTCGTCCTCTTCGCGAGCCGATTTCTCGACCGTTTTCTCCATTTCTTGAAGTAAGAACCGTTATATGGCTTCTAGGTTTTCTTGATTTTGTAAATTAGAGTGATGGATCTTCTAGATCGAGCTCTCTCTCTCAATCACTGCTGTTTAAGCCGTTTCTAGGTCACTTCAAATAGAGAAAAGCTGCATAGCTTCTGATTCTTGAAGGTTCGCCCTAGAAATTTCACTTTTGCTCAGGCGTTTTTGGCCTTTTCTATGTGTATAACTAAGTTCTTGTTTTCTGGTATTGATAGGCTTCAATGTTTTCTTTGCAGGTAAAGGAGAAGCTAAGCGTTTGGTGGCTGTTGTGTTAATCATGCTGCAAATTTTCCATTTCTAAAGCAAATCATATCAGTTCAAGGTATACTTCTTGCTGGACCCAGCTGAATAAAAGGAAGAAATAGCTTTTTTCATCAAAAACAACTCAAGATTGTTACTAAGTTTTCATTAAAGAAAGTAAAAAGTCCAAACCATTGTCTTATCTTCTAAGTGAAGTCTTTCTTTCAAGCCAAAATCAGCTAGTTTCCATGTGATATAAAAGGGAATACAGCTAAGATAGACTCCTCCAACTCATATCTTTCCTTCTATTCCTTTGAGGTATTAACTATGGATGGGGACCAAGTAACCGGACATCTTCCTGGTCGGATAATGAAGCTATGGCTAAGATCCAGACAATCTGAATGGTCCTGTTGGGTTTTCTAATGTTTTAAGGGTTGTGTCTTAAATGCTGACTTCTTTATTGGACGGCTCTGCTTAGCCAATTTGCTTTCCCTTTCAGTCAACTACCTTCTTTATTTATAGTAAAACTTTTTCAAGGCATTTATTGGTAGAGAGAAGAGAACTCATTTGGTGTTCTTTGGTTGTCTTTTCATTGTTTCCAGCTGAATTTTGAGCTTTCTTTGATAGTTTTTGTGTTTATGTAGCAATTGCCAATGCCTTTCGATCCGATTAGCATTGTATTTTTGTGTTCTTGTTGTTTGGGTCATTGGTTTAACTGCAATGTTTTGTCTCAATTTGTCCTGATAGTTTAGCTAGCCCTGTACTGCTCAATCCTTATCCAATTTGGAGAATCATGGTGGAAGATAGTATGAAGGGACGTCCCGGAGACTGTCAGTTGACTGAAGATTGGTTGTTACGTGTGCAAGAGCTGGTTCCTCTGGCGCTACAGAAGGCTATGGAGGTCAAAGTGTTTCCGGGCAGGTGGAAGATGATTATTTACAAGACGGAGCAGATCCCGTCTCGTTTATCTGATTTGTCTAGCCACCCCTTTTTCTCCAAGAACGCTCTTTGTAAGGAGCTATTGCAGGCTGTCTCAAAAACGATGGAAGAAGTAATTGAATTGGCAGAGATCTGTGTGCAGGACAGATACGAGGGGAAGCTTAGAATGCAGAATGATCTCGACTCGTTATCTGGGAAGTTGGATTTGAATTTGCGAGATTGTAGCCATTTGATCAAGACAGGAGTGCTAGGTGAAGCCACTTTGCCCGTATCTGTAACGGGTACTTCGACTGAACCTGAGTCTACCGACCATAAAAATGTGAGGGAATTGCTCGCCCGGCTACAGATTGGGCACTTGGAAGCCAAACACAGAGCTCTTGAAAGCCTTGTCGAGGTCATGAACGAGGATGAAAAGACCGTCCTGGCTGTCTTAGGACGTAATAACATTTCTGCTCTAATCCAGTTGCTCGCTGCAACATCTCCCTGCATTCGTGAGAAAGCAACAATGGCGATTTGCTCGATTGTGGAATCACAGAGTTACGAAAATTGGCTGATTTCAGAGGGTGTTCTGCCACCCCTCATACGGCTTGTTGAGTCTGGCAGTGCTCTTTGTAAAGAAAAGGCTGCAATGTCCCTCCAAAGGCTATCAACATCAGCTGAAACCGCCCGCGAAATTGTTGGCCACGGAGGAGCTCAGCCGCTGCTCGAGATCTGCCAAACAAGCAATTCAGTGTTGCAGGCGGCAGCTGCATGCACTTTGAAGAACATGTCAACCATTCCTGAGGTTAGGCAATCTTTAGCCGAAGAGGGAATCGTTCCGATAATGATAAATCTCCTCGGCAACGGAATTCTCTTGGAATCAAAAGATTATGCAGCCGAATGCTTGAAAAATCTCACTGCAGGCAGTGAAAATCTTAGGAACAATGTGATTTCAGAAGGTGGCATACAAAGTCTATTAGTTTTCATCGATGGCACACACGCCAAGGAATCTGCTATCGAGGCGCTGAGAAATCTAGTCAGCTTGGTTCCGACCGAAGTTATAACATCTCTCGGTGTTCTTCCGTGCCTTCTTCGTGTACTTAGAGGAGGATCTTTAGGTGCTCAGCAGGCAGCTGCATCGGCCATTTGCGTGATTAGCAGCTTACCAGAGATGAAAAAGATACTCGGGGAAGCAGGGTTCATTCCTCCGCTAATCAAGATGCTCGAGGCAAAGTCGAACAGTGTCCGAGAAGTGGCAGCACAAGCAATCGCTAGCTTGATGACACTGTCCCAAAACAGCAATGAAGTGAAGAAGGATGAAAACAGTGTCCCAAATCTCGTTACGTTGCTCGACTCGAGTCCTCATAACACAGCTAAAAAATATGCAGTTGCCTGCCTTGTAAACCTTGCGTTGAGCAAGAAATGCAAGAAGCTGATGATTTCACATGGAGCTATTGGGTATCTCAAGAAGCTTGTAGAAATGGAGGTTCCTAGTGCTAAGAAGCTATTAGAGAGATTGGAAAGAGGGAACTTGAGTATATTCAGCTGGAACTAAATGAAAAGCCGAGTCGTTCCATTGTATGCTCGTGATCGAAAGCTCAAGCTTGAGTATATTCAGCAGGAAATAAACAAAGAGCGGAGTCATTCCATTGTATGCTCGAGATCAAAAGCTCGAGCTTGGGTATATTCAGCACAAAATAAACAAAGAGTGGAGTCGTTCCATCGATGCTCGTGATCAAATGCTCGAGTTACTTTTGTTGATCTTCACTGTTCGAACCGTTGCAGACTGTACATAGATTACGATCGAAAAGACCGAACCGGCTTCCTTGTTTGTGAGGATCTGACTGAAATTTGCATCAAGTAACCTCTCAATCTCTTCCCTATTTCTGTTGGTTCTTTTTGTGATGAATTCAAGAACAAAATCTGGAATTCTATCTGTATTTACTTCGATCCAATAAAATTATATTAGAAATTCTCTTTCTGAGGAAGCGATTCTAGGATCAACGTCTTGATGTTCCTAGATATAGGAGCGGCTTGACACTACTAGGTAAGTTAGATTGGATTGGTTAGGTTGATGACTCGAACAACCTGAATAAAATTCACGACGCAATCCAACCGAGGGAGTTGGGTTGGGTTAAGTTGTTGGGTGTTTTTTCATAAAATAAAAAAACCTATATATTCATAATATATGTCATAACGGCTCAAACTTACCTCAAGGTTTTTTTTAAAACGTATATGCTAGGGTAAGATTTCCACATCCATGTTTTGTTATCCTTCCCGATGTGGGATTTCACAATCTGGGCCCCAAAGATCTCACAATCGACCCTCCTTTAGGGCCTAGTGTCATTGTTGATGCTCGTTCTTCTCTCCGATCGAACAAAAAAAAAATTATGATTGGGAAGGATTAAGTTCACTATTTAATATGGGTTGTTAGGTACGCCCGAACAATTGTGCTTGGTGTAAAAAATGTCTCAACCCGGTCTCCGAACCGACGAACACCCCTACATCCAGATGCATTCAGAACCCACGAGAGAAACAAAGAGTAAAAATGTAAAAAGGAAAATATTGTATGCTTTATAGTGGTAATATTACTAACATTATTTACTACACTTACATATTATAAAGCCATAGAAAAAGAGCTGTGCTTTTCACATTCATCTACACAAGCGCCAGCAAAATGTTATATGCACAGAATATTTGTCACAATTCTGGATGGATGGTTAGGTGCCTTCCCTCTTCTCTTCTTTTTTGGAACAAGATGATTGATTTAAGCAACAAAATCTTCATCTGATTCATCTTCTTCATCACCCCATGCATAATACTCGCCTTGAACTACGTTTCCCCGAAGCATATTCACAATCTGTCGCAACTCGATTACACGTCTCTCCAAATATGTGGGAAGGATTGTGAGTGGTTCATTGTCAAGCATGCTTAACTGGTTATAAGTCTTTGCCTGACGGTTACATTTTAAAATAAACTCCCATGACGGTTCGAGGATTTCGATATCAAATGCAGGCGATAATGATCGTCCGATAACTTGAACATGAGAAACGCTGCAGGGGAAACACGAGCTGTTAAGACATCATTAGTGGTGCAAGATTCAACAAACTATATCTTAATGCTGCAGACAAAGGGGAGAGCATGCTGCTCTTGTTCGACAACTTTAATATTTCTTGGTTCGCCCCGTCCGAGGTAACGTTGCTGGGCAGCTGTTTCTTGGAAATTCTTTCGAGCTAAAAGGAAACGCTACGCCAGACAGGCAGAAGGAAGAAAAAGTATAAATACGAGTGATCATACCATATGTAGAACAAAGCATCTGTTTCTTGTCTTTGTACCCTCCCAAGCAGCTCAATTTGCAAAATGCCTCCTATGCAAAGAACAGGTTGAGGAAGTTTGAACTTCTGCAAGCAATTTTCCTGTTCAGTAAGATGTCATTTGACCCATCAGTTACGGAATTAAATGGATTTTAACCATGTTCAAGTGAATCAAACAAAACTAACATTCTTGTATTATGTAAAAATCAGAGCTCCAACACAATCTGATAGCTGATGAAAGCTGGAAAGTTCTCATGCCAGATATGTGGAAAACCGCCCAAGCCCACCGCTAGCAGATATTTTCCTGTCTGGGCTTTTTCGTCCAAACTTCTCCTTTAAGTTCTTAAAATGTGTCTGCTAGGGAGAGGTTTCTACACCCTTATAAAAAATGATTTGTTCCCATCTCCAACCGATGTGGGATCTCACAATCCACCCCCTTTGGGGCCCAACGTTCTCGCTGGGCCCAGTGAACATCCCCTTTAGGGCTCAACGTCCTCGTTGGCACACCGCCCAGTGTCCACCCTCCTTCGAGGCTCAGCTTCCTCGCTGGCACACTGCCCGATGTCTGGCTATGATACCATTGGTAACAACCCAAGCTTACCACTAGCCGATATTGTCCTCTTTGGGCTTTCTCTTCTAGGTTTCCCTTCAAAGTTTTAAAATGTGTCTGTTAGGGGAGGTTTCCACACCCTTATAATAAATGTTTCGTTCCCCTCTCCAACCAATGTAGGATCTCACAATCCACCCCTCTCCAACCAATGTAGGATCTCACAATCCACCCCTCTCCAACCAATGTAGGATCTCACAATCCACCCCTCTTCAGGGCCCAGCATTGGGATCTCACAATAAGGTTCAAGATCATGGATAGAATATTACGCTGCATAAATTATTAGACTCGGAAACAATAACCCTGAGCGATTGCCTCGACTAAAATATAAAAAGACCTTACCGATAGCAAAATGACGGGCACTTTGAACAAGGAAATGGAATTCAACAATAAGAGAAATGCAGAATGCATTAGCAAAGCATGGACTTTATGACATACCTGAGCCATTGGAAATTCTGGAGAAGTATATGTCCATGTAAACATCTCTTTTGTAGATCCACGGTGTAACTCCCCAGCCAGATCGCTCCTAAGATCCATGACATGTTTTAAGTGACCAAACCGAAACCGCACGGCTTTAGATGAGTATATCGGTGAACCAGACTGAAAAAATGCTGGACAAGAAAATAGACATTCATCATCAAAGCAAACAGCATAGAAGGCGAAAAAACCTATATAGGAAATCAGCCAAAGAAATACCTTGGAAAGGTCGTATATTAATCTCAGTAACAACACATAAATTGGAAACCAGTTTGTATATCAGTGTCTCGGATACATCAGGTTTAAAGTGTCCTTTACTTGACCAATACGAAGCTCTCCTTGCAATGAGATCTCTCGCTTCCAACGTGTTCGTAATGCTTTCCTCAGGATCATTATCAGTGCTTGAAGCAGTAATTGCCTCTAAAATGCAATTTCTCATAAGAAACGATGCAGATGCATGAGCGAGATACGAATAAACTCTGTGATCCCTCTGCACTGATTTTGAATCTCTTGAACTACTACATGCTGCTTCTTCGTTTCCATTCACTTCCGAGTTCATTACTTCAACAATCGAAGCTACTCTCGACAAATGAGGGAATGATCTAAAGCAGAGGTGCTTTGATAAACCATTTCCTAACACTACGAAAAGTAAAACATAAAGCCTGTCAATAGAATGAAACTACAAGGTTTCCGCTATCTCTTTCTTCTTCGTATCATTCAGTATCGAACATTCTTCACAAAATGCATTTCTATTACTGTTTACTTTTCCTTGATCACTCCATATATCAGAACTAACTTATAAGTTACATGAATCTGACATTAATATCATGAATACATAACATATGCAGTTTAATCAATACTGAAAGTTGATATGAACTTCTCACACATGTACTCACCTAAATGTTGCCAACGCCGTGAGACTGCACTCGCTCGAACGATATCAGAAACATCATCGAAGCACATTAAAATCTTTCTCGACATGTCGAGTGGAAGCAAATTCAAGAAATCCAAACGGACTTCCATTTCTGGCAACTTACCATAAGAAAATGCAGCAGCTTCCAAAACTAGACCTGAGTTGAAAGGGAAGAAAAGATAACTTATAATGACACAAATTCAAGACTCTGATCGAGCAATGAACTAAGAAACTCGAACATAATTCCGATGAACAATCCAAATATACAAAGAACACACCAAATTAAAAATAATGACAAGAACTTGCAATTATGGCGCTGGATTTAACCACTCGAAACGAAAGAAAAATCTATTGAAATGCGAAACCAAAACTTCCTCGATAGAAAGCAATAAACGGAGAAAATTAAAGCGCCATTTAAGAATCATCGAACAGAATTCATTCAAAAACCCTCAAAGTCACAGAGATGCAAACAACAAAAGAAAACCTCAGAAGATTCAAAGAAAATGGCGAAAAACATACGAAATCAAATAGAATAATCAGATAAACGAACCGATCGCCAAAAATTTCACCTCATTATGAGAAAAATTCGGAACGAAATCAGTAACAGATAGCCATTTCATGAAATTAAAAGGAAGTGATACATTTTGCAGTGCTTACTTTCGTCAGAGACCGAAAGTGTCCCTCAAGAAAAAAAGGAAAAAGAATCCTTGAAGAAGAATCAGAGGGACGGGGATTTGGTAGAGAATGATGAGCTCAAATAGATGATTATGAAATCGGAAAGAGAGTAAAATTGGAAAGCAGTTCGAAGGACAGCGAAACCCACTTTTGTTTTGTAATTAAATAGTTAATCCTCTTGCATTCCCATCACCAACCCTACACCTGTTTTTTTTTTTTGGGTTATATTAATAAAATATATATATATATATATATAAATTCTCTTCCGTCCTTTTGTTTTTTTAAAAAAAAAACCTATAATTTTAATTTTTTAAAAGTTTTAAAATATTATTATATCGTTCCAAAGTTTAGGAGTTTTTTTAGACCAAAAATATTTTTATTAATTTAGCCTTATTTTATTTTCTCAAAATATAATTTTAGTCCTATAGTTCTTTTAAACGACGAAATTTCATATCTCGGGTAACAACTTGTCATAATATGACGGTATCTTCAAACATATATTCACCGGTACATCGTGATATGTCATATAGATGGTTTAAATCACACATATACCAAAAAAAAAAAAAAATACAACACTTTATTATATAACCACTCGCACAAATGGTAGTAATTAGGCAAGGGACGTAATCTGTTCAGACATATCTCCATCGTTATATCATGATGTTTCATATTTATGGTCTAAATCATACTCAAAATATCCTCGAAGTCCCGAAACATAAAATGACACCAAAACTTTCAGACAGAACATGTTTGAAAATTGAAAAACTAGGCATTTTTCCAACTAGTGAGTGATCTCCCAGCTCGGTCACCGAGCGACTCGGAGTCCTCGTCACAAACCCCATCAGACTTCCGATCCAATCCGATCCGACCCGTGTTGGTCGATTAGCTACAAAATCTGTACTTTGGCTGGTTTGCTTGAGTAGAAGGCCGTATCAGCACAGAGTCAAGGCAGAGCCCTCCTTTGGTGTGTGTGCAGTCAATCTGAGTCAATGAGAATTTCAGCTTCATCATACCGTTGTTCTTCCCACTACTTTCAACCGTGAAATCTCCCACGTGATAGTTTAGCCAATTCCCAGGGCTGCACAAGAAACACCGCGATTCGGTATGCTGATTATCGGACGTCGTCAGCTGAAACCTCACCGGCTTTATGTCCCAGCCATGGACTTGATCTGTGTAGCAGACTCGACGACCGAGTCTCTTCGATGGTTTCCCGAGATGGAGCCTGAAGAACACCGCGTATCTCCCTTCCGGGAACTGGAACTTGAGCTCTCCGTTCACCTCGAGCCACCATGTTTGTTGAAGATAAGCTATCGTCTGAAATCTGGATTTAGGAACAAGAAATATCACTCCAAGATCTCGACCATCAAGAACTTTCGACGTATGAAAGAATGAAAATGTCAAACAATTCTATATCGACGTATGTTCGGTGATATAATGACCAAATGAGCAAGGGCTGTTAAATGATCAATGCTTTTGAAAGTTTATAGAGCTACGTGATCGGCTAACTCGTAAAGGTTTTGAAATTACTGTGTGTGAATCGGATGATCGAGGTCACTTGATCGTTTTCTCGCCACAGCTACACTTGAAACCATTGTTCACAAGCTCGAGTTCTTTGAAAGTCGAACTCCGGCTGTTCTAAAAGCACAGGTCACCGTGAAAACACATTAAACAAAGAAAACAACTACAAAAAAGAATAAACAATCTCAAAGCTCATTTCTCAAAACATCCTCCATTGCAATGGAACTTTCTCCGGTCCTGGCGCCTCTCGAGCTGCCCTAGTTGTTGAATGGGGTTTTGATATAGGTGGGCGGCCTCAGGAACTAGTAGCAGCATAACCTCTGGAGTGACTATCTTAGTCGTGGGATCATAACCTCTGGAGTGACTATCTTAGTCGTGGGATCAGCCTCCCCTAAAGCAAGTGCACGAAAGGGTGAAAGCAAAACTCTAGTTTTGATAGGGGTGGACAGCCTCAGAAACTAGTAGGATTCACGGGCAAAGCCGGAAGCTGTTACGTGACCTCTGAAGCGACTATCTTAACCATGGGATCAGCCTCCCCGAAGGCGAGTGTGCACGGAGGGGTGAAAGCAAAACTCTAGTTTTGATAAGGGTGGACGGCCTCAGGAACTAGTAGGATTCACGGGAGAAGCCGGAAGTTGCTGTTTGACCTTTAGAGCAACTATCTTAGTCGTGGGATCAGCCTCGCCTAAGGCGAGGGCTGGGGACAGGTGAAAGCAAAGCTCTAGTTTCGATAGGGGTGGACGGCCTTAGGAACTAGTAGGATTTGCAGGCGAAGCTAGAAGCTACTGCGTGAGCTCTAGAGCCACTATCTTGGCCGTAGGATCGAAGGGTGAAAGCGAAACTCAAAGGAATTTACTTCTTTTTCTATTTCTTCGAAGCTCGAAGCTCAAAGCTCGTTCGAAATGACTTTACAAGTGCTTAAACACGTATAAAATCGCTCCAAACATACCCTAAAAGGCTAAGTTTAGGCTAAATCATACTCGGAGTTGATCAAATCCCAATGGTAAACAGTTTTAGCTTATTCAATAACAACACAAAATCAAAATTCTACAGAGCTTCTAAAGTAATCTCACCTGGATTCCTCTGTTGAAATATGATTCCAATATCTCCGATCATCAATTCCAGTGATACTCAATGCTTTCCAAGAGATAGCCATTGATAGCTCTCCAGTTCTCTTGTTCAACCAGAACTCCTTCACCAAATGAAATAAGAACCCATTTCAGAAGAACCCTAAACCCTAAACCCTAAATCAATCCAAATCCAGAATTCAAATTACAATTCAAAAGAGATCAAGAACAGAGATAAACCTTCCAGACGCCATTTAAGGTATTTCGTTTGCAGAGCTTAGAATACACATCTTTCTTCCTCAAATTCGCTGTTCTTTTCTCTTTCTCGTTGAACTCTAATGCTTTATCCATCAGAAACTGATAATTACAAGGCAATTTAGATTCCCAGATGAAATCCGCCGACGCAGCGCCGCGAAACATCCGATTAACTCCGGCTAATTTGCAAATCTCCGGCGGGTCCATATGCATTAGAACCAGAGCCACACAGTTTTCCGGCATATCTTCAAGCCCTGACATTAATGGCGGACCATTTTTTCCACTGTTATTCGACAGATTAGCACCCATTCGATTGAACCGCCTTAAACCCTAAAATTTGAAAGAAGAATCCGCAGAACCTAGTTCTTAAATTCAACTTAGAACTTGAATTTAAACCTGAATCTGAAGATCTTCACCACGAGATTCAAAGGGAGGAACGCGAATAGAACAACACCCCACCCCAAAACCAAATCCAAACTCATTTATTTCAAGAATCATAAACTCCCAAAGCGATTTTTCAATATAATCGCCACTTTCAAGCCAAAAAAACCCAGAAATTGAGAAGAAAAGATGAAGAAAATTGAAGAACTCCCGAGGATTTAATAAACTCAAAGACAAAATAGGATCAAAAGAAAGTTAAATCGCTTTAAACTCTGAATTTTTTTATCTTCTTGTGTTCGTCAGGATTGGCATGGAATGGAGGCAGCGAGGGCGCATTCAGTACAGTACGATTCGCGTGCATCGCCACGAGGAAAACGAAACGGATTCCGCTACGGGACAATCGTGCAATACACGCGCCAAAAGGGGAGAAGAAACGGAAGCGCGTGTTCTCAATCAACGCTGTCATTTGGGCGCGTTGTTAGTTTATAGTTCTTTTCCTTTTCCCGAGGAGATTTTTATTCCGTTTTAAAAATTGTTTTAAAAATTGTTTTGGATTTGTCGTTATTTGTCTTTGTGGATAAGATTTTTTTTTTTTTTTTTTACTAAAACGTTAATTAAGATAAAATGATAAACAAAACTCGTCACGATCTTAAACGAAGTCGATGATCGTCGTCGGGCATGGAAAGCTAAATTACCGAGTAACTAAATTACATTTAAGATTGTAATTAAAAAGTTATAGGCATAATTATGACTGTCGGTTGCAGAAGGAACCGACAAAAAGTCGAGTCTCATTAGTAACTCTTAGCTTTTTCTTATTAATAGATTCCACTCCACGTTTGTAGAGGATTATTGACTCAACGAGTTCAACTAATCCAACCAAGTATTTGTGACTTTCATAGTCAAACGTGGAGTCCCTTTTAAAATTACGAACAATACCTCTGGTACACGTGTACCATTTTTTTATATAATAATTTTAATGAAACATTGAAAGATAATTATTAATAATTATTTTTATTTTTATTTTTATTACGTAGGATTGATGGATGAAAGAAAAAGATCATTATATATATATATATATTTTTTTTTTTTTTTGTTAAAATTTTATTTTAAGAGCTATGAACATTCATAAAGTTGAAGTTTATTATATAAATAATATATGATTGAATTTAAAGTAATGGTAAAAATAACTAATAATAATAATAACTTTTCAGCTATCTACCGTTTCAAATGTGAACCCGTGCTAAAACAGGACCCGTCGTATAATAAGATCGGACGAACATTACAAAAAAAATAAAACAATGAGCAAACAATTTTTTTTCTTTGTAAAATATAAATATATCATTTATTTGTTTTTAATAGAATTTAAATTGTTCCTCCATGGGCCATATAATGGGCCATGCGGCCCATTAGGATAGTGTGTATTCTTTTAGTTTGGGCCTCTTGGCTTACACTCCAATTTTCTCCAAAAAGTAAAAATAAAAAAGTATTGTGGTTGAACTTTTAATTATACTAAACTCGAAGGGGCGAATAGCAAATTTTTTCTAGCTCAATGTGACACGTGCCAAAAGTGTAAGAGCATTACTTGCAATTTACTCCCATTTCATGCGTTACCATAAAAACGTATAAATATCTTATTTGGAATAATATTTTAATTATTAAAAAAAATAATTTATACCCTTAATATATACAATTTATTAAAATATATACAAATTTGAATATAGTTAACAATAAATTAAAATATTTAGAACAAATTCTAAAAGTGATATAAGAAAAAGAAAAATACAAAAAATTGATACCAAATTGTGTTGGCAAGTAAAATGGCAAAAAAGTCCTCGGCCCCACCTTCCCCGCCAAGGGCTTTTTGGGCCCACAATAAACTCCAAAAGTGACTCACAACTCAGCCATCCTCCAAGCGAAAGAAAAGCATATTATGATCTTCATTAATAACCATCATAAATAAATAAATAAATAAATAAAATATTATAATATAAGATTTTATCCCTCCTTACCAAAATGCTTAATTTTGTCCTTTATATTTCATTAATTTATATTCAATTATTCATTAATTATTGTATGATCGTAATAATTAACTACTTGCCTGTCCTATTTATGCACTTTTTAGCATTATCTCATTTATAATATCCAATTATTTACACCGAAAATTCTTATTTTAATAATTTAAAATTAGTAAAATTAAATTTAATTACAATATTAATATATTTTAAAGTGAAAAAAGTCAAAATTATTGAGATTAGTTGGTTTATAGTTAGGACTTAGGCGTAAGGTGGAGCCGTTGAGACAGGCACATGGGGTGCTGTACGGAGCATTTCCAATGGCGTTTACAACTCACGCGCCGATGTGTCGCGTGGGCGAAGAGGCCACGATAATATGTAATGTAATTTAAATTATTTAAATTACAAATCTACTTAAATTTTAGTGCACGCCTTTTCTGGAAATAAAATTTTTTTTGTATGAAAAATAATTTATTTTTATCTTTTAAATAATATTTTATATTAATTAAAACTAAAAAACACTCGTACAAAATAATCATTAATTTTTAAAAATTTTAATATTACCTTTATTTTTTTTTAAGAGTATTATTTCTATAAAAAGTGTAAAATTAAAATTAAATAGAATAATTATAATTATTATTTTTATGTATTAAATTATATTAAATTGAATTTTAAAAAAAAATTAAAAGGGGAAGGACGATGAGATGGAAACGTAAGTAAGTGAAAGTGGTGGAAAAGTCAAAAAGGAAAACATTTAATCAGCTAATGAAGCAAGTATGATAACCGTTTTGGACCCGTTCGATCTGAACGGGCCCACGTGGACCATATTACCGGTATGGGTGGGCCCGCACCATATCCCTACCCCCACATGCTTACGTTTCCATGACTTCCCCCATCAAAATCACCAAGCATAGCTCTCATCTCATGCAAAGCGAGTTTCACTTCCCATTAATTAAATATATATATATATATTTTTTCGATTTTTTTATTACATATTTTTTAAAAAAATATATAAAAATTTTATTACATATTTTCACTTCCCATTCATTAAAAATATATATTTTTTCGATTTTTTTAATTACATATTTTTAAAAGTCTAATAAATTATAAAAATCCTTCAAAACATTTTTTATCACACAATAATTTAATTAAAATACATATACGATAAAACAAGGAAATTGATGGATTAAATTTTGTAATAATTTTAAATATTTAATTTAATTTAATTTTTGGGAAGGAACAAAATGGATGAAGCCAAATTTAAGACGTCGTAATCGAATAATGCGACTATTTATTTATTTATTTTTTTAAAATCTCGAATATCAAGAACAAGAATTTCCATAGGGAATTGGAAAACAAATAAACACAAGAATATTCATATTCTTTTCGGAGAGATTTAATCGAAAATACCAAATTTTGTTCCTAGTAAAAATAAAATAAAACCCCCCATTCTTTTCTCTTTATATCTCCGCCGTCCACGGTGGCGCTTCCGCGTGTGTTCCCCATGCGCCGCCACCCTCCCTCTTTCTCTCTCTTGTTCTTGAACGCTCTCAGTCGTCACTCTGCCTTTAAAAAGTCCAAATCCCCACACCCACTTTCTTCAACCTTCTTCTTCTTCTTCAAATCGGCGTTCTTTCTCTCTCTCTCTCTTCATTGAAATTAATCCGGCGGAGTTTTTAGAGAGAGAGAGGGAGGAAAGCTCTGTTTTTGTTCGTCTGGTTCTGATACTCTGTTTTCCCCTGTTTCTTGAACTCTTCAATGGCGGTGACCCATTTCCCGTTCAAAGCTGGGAGGCTCAATCTCTTTACAATTACTTTGGTTGCGATCCTCTGCGCCGCCTTTTATCTCGTCGGCGTTTGGCAACACTCCGTCGGAAAAGCTATTCTTTTCGTCGGCGGGAATTATGGATGTACTACCTCAACCGCCACCTTCCAAACTTCTTCTGAAACCGCCGTTGTCGACCTCGATTTCACCGCCCATCACACCGCCGCCGACCTCCAAGTAATCCCAAAGGCGCGTCGCCCTCACCTCCCACCGTGTGACCCGAAGCTCTATGAATACACCCCCTGCGAGGACCGGGAAAGGTCGCTCCAATTCGACAGGGACCGATTGATCTACAGAGAGAGGCACTGCCCGGCCGCCGGAGAGATTCTGAAGTGCCGGATTCCGGCGCCAGCCGGGTATAAACTGCCGTTCTCATGGCCGGAGAGCCGGGATTTCGCCTGGTTTTCGAATGTTCCGCATAAGGAATTGACGGTGGAGAAGAAGAATCAGAACTGGGTCCGGTTCGAGAAGGACCGGTTTAGATTTCCCGGCGGTGGCACCATGTTCCCTCGAGGCGCCAACGCCTATATCGACGATATCGGGAAATTGATCAATCTCGCCGACGGGTCCATCAGAACCGCCGTTGACACCGGCTGTGGGGTACGTAACTATTTCAAACCGGCCGGATCAAACCGGCCGGCCTGTCTCAAAATTCATTGAATTTAATTTTTTATTTGTGAAAATAATCGGAAATTGACCTCTTTCCATACATTTTGAAAAATCCCATAAAAGAGAATAAATAAGACTTTTCCTCTAATTATGAAAAAAATTATAAATTCAAATATGGAGTCTTATATAAATAGGATAACGACCAATAAGAAAATGATTTTTTATTATTTTTTTTTTAAATTACACCATAATTATTCTTATTTGTTGATTTTTTCTGCCTCTTCCAGTCTATCAGTATTGACTGGACCGAGGGTCAAAACGTAATTTTTCATGATATTTTTTTATTTTTCTTTTTTGTAACTAGTTTGAGTCTTAAGAGATAATAGATGTAAGGTTTGGGGTCAGTTAAGAGTGTCACCGACGAATAAGAAAGTGCCACGCATGTGATGAGATGGATATAGGATATATACGGGAAAATATTTATGAATAATTGTTTATTTTAATTAGTTCTAGATAATTTTAATTAATAATGAAAAATGCGTAAAAATTAGGGGCAACTTTATATTTACGTATTGGTACACATGGATGCATGTGATTGTAGCTAATGGATATCAATTTTAGCTGATCTAATATTAGGAATTAAATAATAGTGAATTTTAAAAAATATCTTGAAAGTTTATTAATAAAAATATCTTTTTTTTTTTGGACCCTTGTTGATGAATGTAATATCAACATGAAAAGGCTTATAGATATAATTTATGTTTTGTGTACTTTTTCAATAAATACAATAGAAATAAATATGTATAATTTTTTTTTTTTAATTATCTACTTTATGTCTAAAGTGAATTAGGAATTTTAAAACTCAATTATTGGATGGGATTTTGGTGAGGTTCATGAATTTTGACCCGAATTTGGCCGAAATTCATGTAATCGATAACTTACCTAAATCACGTTCTTTTTAGAGATGCACGTTGATTCACGTACTCGTAAAAATTTAAAATATCTTTGTTCATTCAAAAATTTAGAATATTGGATGAAAATTAGAACATAAAACAGTGACCTGGAACACGAATTTCAACCCACACTGATAGTCCTTAACAATCGATACAAAATCATTAAGAGTGTTATTGTATTGAGAAACGAAGATTTGATGTCTTTTGGTAAGGTGGCAAGTTGGGGGGCATACTTATTGTCAAGGAACATAGTGACGATGTCATTTGCACCTAGAGACACTCATGAAGCACAAGTTCAATTCGCACTCGAGCGTGGAGTTCCCGCTTTGATCGGAGTTCTTGCTTCCATCCGACTCCCTTATCCATCTCGAGCTTTTGACATGGCTCACTGCTCTCGCTGCCTCATTCCCTGGGCTCAATCTGGTATCTTTCTACTTCTTTCTTCCAAGTACAATCCCCTGCATTCTCATTTTCATTCAAACTATGCATCTTTTGTGTGGAGCAGATGGTATGTACCTGATTGAAGTCGATAGAATTCTAAGACCTGGAGGCTACTGGGTCCTCTCCGGGCCGCCGATAAACTGGGAAAATCACTGGAAAGGTTGGGAAAGAACGGCCGAAGATCTCCAAGACGAGCAGTCGAAAATCGAGGCTGTGGCTAAAAGCCTTTGCTGGAAAAAGTTGAAGCAGAAGGGTGATATTGCTATTTGGCAAAAACCAACCAACCATATACACTGTAAAAAGAATCGAAAGGTCTTCAAATTCCCCAACTTTTGCCAGGGACAGAACCCCGACACTGCATGGTTCGTTAACTGTTTTGTCCCGATTCTTCTTTTTCTAGAGATATTCAAAGCTAAAAGGCATAGTCTGCAAGTGATACCAAAACCAAAGTGATTGAAAAGTTTGATATCAAAAAGATGCTCAAGGGGTTGAGCTCGTTGCTTCTTTCACCAGCTATTGCTTTATTCTAAGCTTGGTTTTCTTGCTAAGAATCAACAGAAATCTATCCCTACTGAGAACAGTTTCCACCTTTTTTGTCATAATAATTACCTTATTTTTACACTTGTCGTCTAAGTGCAGGTACACAAAAATGGAGCCTTGCTTGACGCCACTTCCTGAAGTGTCTGACATAAAAGAAACAGCTGGTGGGCAGCTGCTCAATTGGCCAGAGAGACTGACTTCTGTTCCACCAAGAATAAGCAGTGGGAGTTTAAAGCAAATCACAGCACAAAACTTCACTGAAAATACAGAGTTATGGAAAAAGAGAGTAGCATATTACAAGGCCTTGGACAACCAGCTTGCTGAGCCTGGGAGGTACCGCAATTTGCTTGACATGAACTCATTCTTGGGTGGCTTTGCAGCTGCCCTTGTTGACGATCCTCTGTGGGTCATGAACATCGTCCCTGTCGAAGCAGATTTTAACACCCTTGGAGTCATCTACGAACGAGGACTAATCGGAACATATCAAAATTGGTATGTAGAATTAAAATACAACCAAGCAAGATGTAGCTTAGCCTATTATTATAACAACCCAAGTCCACCGTTAGTAGATATTTTCCTCTTTGGATTTCCTTCAAGGTTTTAAAACGCGTATGAATAGTGTGCCAACAAGGACACTGGGCTCAAGGGATAGATTGTGAGGCCCCATGGAGAGGGGAACAAAACATTCTTTATAAGGGTGTGGAAACCTCTTCCTAATAGAGGCTTTTTAAAACCTTGAGAGAAAGCCCATAAGGGAAAGTCCAAAGAGGACAACATCTGCTAGCCGTGGGTTTGGGTTGTTACAATTATATTCACTTTGATTTGAAATCGCCGATTGATCTTTTAGGTGTGAGTCAATGTCAACTTATCCTCGAACATATGACTTCATTCATGGTGATTCGGTCTTCAGTATGTACAAGGACAGGTAAATTAGACCATGCATATTACAAAATTCTTTCATAAAGCGCTCGGAAACTAACTCAGTGAGAAAATTATACCTGTGTTGCAGATGTGAAATGGAGGATATTCTGCTAGAGATGGACAGGATTCTCCGGCCACAGGGCAGCGTGATCCTCAGAGACGATGTGGATGTGTTGGTGAAGGTCAAGAATATCGCAGAGGCTATGCAATGGGAATGCAGAATCGCAGACCATGAGAAAGGACCCCATCATAGAGAAAAGGTATTGGTTGCAACCAAGCAGTATTGGACTGCACCTGCATCTGAAGAAGAAAATCAAGAAAAACAAACTTCTTCTGAAAACTAGCAGTGCCCCAATGTTTTGATTCAAAATTCTCTTTTTCCTTTCTAATCTTTGGGGTCAATAACTCAGTTATAAATTCATTTTTTTGTTTCATTACCCATTTTTTTGTGAAGGGACGTTTGAACTTTGATGAAATTGTTGGTGCTGACCCAATAACTAATAAACAGTCTGTATTATGCTTACAAATGTCCCCCTAGATCATCACATTCACATACAAATTTGAAGTATACATTTTACCACGAGCTAGAAATGGCACAATTTTCGATATCAAGTGCAAAACTCAAACGTTGAAATTCATTTTTATGGCAAAGAATGAAGGAAATTAGTACAAAAAATTGTATCAAAATTTTCCTAACAGGATCATGGACCAAATAACTTGCCAGATCTGACATAGAATCATCCATTAAGAACCATAATTAAGATCTCTCAAAAAGCCCCTTGTTCTAAGAATTCTCGTTTCAGCTAGCCAATCCACACACCAATAGTTTTCAACTACTCATATACATAAACTAGATTGAGCTAGAGCACCTGTTGGCCACCTATCTATTCAATTCAAAAGTGTTTGGTGGAAGATATTATACCATATTAACTCCACAAACAAGGCTTCTTGCTTGCCGGTGAGGCCGAGATCTCTCAACATCATCTTACCATCTTCAACTCCAAAAGTACACCTTCGATATGGCCTTGCCTGATCATCAATAATTAGATGCGAAACTCGGATCAATCATTCGGATATTACTGTGAATGTGTTCATTCAGTACTTTGAATGCTAAAATTTCATCAACAATCAGTAAAAGTACATGTCGTGGTTGAAATTTGAAAACCTGAAAATTAAAACGACAAACCAACACAAAATTCAAGTGCTGCAGTGTTACTCCAACGGAGAGTGGACCTCGAGCTTACGCATGGCGAGAGACCCGGAAGCGCCGGTGAATCTCGTGAAGGTTTCGACCGCTTCTTGATTCGGCCACGCCTTCGAAATAAATTGATAATTTTATAGGTTAAAATTGAGATGAGATTTAAGGATGAAACGACGTCGTTATTGAACACGTGAGACTATCGCATCGCACGTGGCATCCGAACTCCCCGTCTCTCCCCCGTCCGATGGCCTGTCGGGAGAGTAGAAATTTTGCTGCTACATAAGCGAGAGACTGACACACATCTACAAGCGTTCTTCCGTAACAAGTACGGTCACTTTCTTCCCTCTCAGGAAACCCTAATTCTCCATCCCCAAATTCCATTTCTCCTCTGAATTCTCTTGATTTCGATATTCCCATCGATATGCAAGGCGAAGACGAGCCCTCGAGCAGCGCAACAATGGTCGAAGACGAGATCTACGCCAACGGCACCAGCGCCGACGACCAGAAGCGCAATAGACCCATTATAACCGGCGAGCAGCTCGACATTGAAGCCTATGCCAGTCTCTATTCGGGTCGCACCAAGATCACTCGTCTCATATTCATTGCCGACCACTGCGGCGCCGACACCAATCAGACGATGCAGCTCGAGGCGCTTCGGATGGCGTACGACGAGATTAAGAAGGGCGAGAACACTCTGTTGTTCAGGGAAGTCGTGACGAAGATCGACGGTAGGTTGGGGCCTGACTATGGGATGGATGCCACTTGGTGTGAGATGATCGAGCGGAGGGCTGAACAGAGGAAGGATAAGCTCGAGAATGAACTCAACGCGTATAGGGTACATTACCTTTGATTTAGATTCTCGCACATCCTTTAGGATAATTTTGTTGTGGTTCTCATGTCAATGAAGCAATGCTCGAATTGAATTTACCTCCTAAAAAGTGGAAACAACTCGTTTGAAAATCTGGATATTGTGTAATTAGCTACTTCTTCATGAACTTGCGGTTTCCATCTTTAATTTGTTGGCATTGTTACTTTCTGCAGACCAATTTGATAAAAGAAAGTTTAAGGATGGGATACAATGATTTTGGAGATTTTTATTATGCTCACGGTGCACTTGGCGATGCTTTTAAAAGTTATGTTCGTACGCGCGATTATTGTACTACGTCAAAGCATATCATTCATATGTGCATGAGCGCAATTCTTGTCAGCATAGAGATGGGCCAATTTACACATGTCACGAGTTATGCCAGCAAAGCTGAACAGACACCAGAGGCCCTAGATGCAATTACTAGCGCAAAGCTTCGCTGTGCTGCAGGATTGGCTCACTTGGAAGTAAAAAAGTACAAACTTGCTGCTCGCAAGGTTTGTTTTCTTGTGCACATTATGATCCAGTAGTTTGGTTCAAATTGTATTGATTGTCTTAAAACTTCCTTTCTTCGAAGATACAGTCGCATATGAGCATGCTCTTATCATTTGAATCGTGTATTATTTTATAAGTCGTGTATTATTTTATAAGTCGTGTTTGTGTACGATGGTCTAGAGTAAAAAATAACTTGATCATCATAGGATCCAGTAGTTTGGTTTGAATTGTATTGATTGTCTTAAAGCTTCCTTTCTTTGAAGTTGCAATATACAGTCGCATATGATCATGCTCTTATCATTTGAATCGTGTATTATTTTATAAGTTGTGTTTAAGTATGGTGGTCTAGAGTAAAAAACAACTTGATCGTCATAGGATCCAGTAGTTTGGTTCAAATTGTATTGATTGTCTTAAAACTTCCGTTCTTCGAAGTTGCAATATACGGTCGCATATGATCATGCTCTTATCATTTGAATCATGTATTATTTTATTAGTTGTGTTTTTGTATGATGGTCAAGAGTAAAAAAGACAACATGATCATCATAGGCTTTCTTTGTTGTATCGCCTCATATCTAATCTATATTTGCATTTGTGTTCTGCTAAATGTCTATATTGTTAGAATGGCTCTAATATCATGTTAGATGAACACAACTCTCCACAATGGTATGATATTGTCCACTTTGAGCATAAGCTCTCGTGGCTTTGCTTTGGGCTTCCCCAAAAGGCCTCATACCAATGGAGAGAGTATTCTTTGATTATAAAACCATGATCATTCCCTAAATTAGCCGATGTGGGACTATCATCATCTAACATATATTAATGTCGATTGTGGCGTTGAGGGACTCTTTCTTACATTCTGATTAGGTGATTCTTTGCTATATTTTGCAGTTTTTGGAGACAGGTCCTGAATTAGGAAGCCATTACAACGAAGTGATTGCACCCCAAGATGTTGCAACGTATGGCGGTCTTTGTGCACTTGCAACTTTTGACCGCTCAGAGCTAAAGGCACATATTTGTTTCTATTTCCTGCTAATCATGTTCCCTATGGAATGAAAGGCAAGTGACTTGCTGATGTTTCTGACTATTTTTCTTTAATCTGGCAGTCCAAAGTTATAGACAATGTCAACTTTCGAAATTTCTTAGAGTTGGTTCCTGTAGTCCGAGAGCTGATCAATGATTTCTACTCGAGGTTTGTGGAGTTCTTATACATTGTGATAAGCAGTAGCACTAATATTGTTATAAGTTTCTATCTCTAGCCTTAGGTACATGAATCTATCTTTTCACTACGAATTTTAAATTGAATCGGACATGGTTCTAAGCATTCACATAAATTACATTTGACGACAGGCGAATCTCTTTTTTGAACCATTGAGTTCTTCGAATTAACATATTACTTCAGATATGAAGCTTTCTTGTTAATGTTTTTTGTTGGTGATAAGCGAGTGAGTTTTGAATATATCAGATGTTAATGTTTTATCAATTGTACAGTATTTATTTATTTTTTATTGTTTTCCTGATGAAATATTGAATTTTCTTTGCAGCCGTTATGCATCATGCCTGGACTACCTGGGGAATCTTAAGCCTAACTTATTGCTTGACATTCATTTACATGACCATGTCGAGACACTCTACGATCAAATACGCCACAAGGCTCTCATCCAATACACACTCCCATTTGTGTCTGTTGATCTCCGCATGATGGCTGATGCTTTTAAAACAAGTGTTGCTGGTCTTGAGAAAGAGCTGGAAACACTAATCACTAATAACCAAATCCAGGTTTCTTTCGGACTATCCTTCGTTAGTTTGTCGTTTTGATTTATATATATTGTTATTTTTTCAAAATGCTTTATGAGGGTTGGATGAATTGACCATCTGAAAAATAATTTATCATGTGGCATTGGAGCTATTCCACTGGTTGCTGTGTTCTTGTAACTCTTAACGTGTAACTAGACTCGTGTGTGCATGTGATCAATGAAAAATGCATGCCTTTAGCTACTTCAACAGTTGCAAATTCTCATGATAGTAACTAGTCTTAGCCCCTACCCCCATAAATCATGCAACTGAACTGACTATTGATTAACTGGGATCAAATTCAACTTCGCCGTTGAACCTAGCCCTTGCGGTTGGATGAAACGAGCAGTCTTCGTGTTATACCTACCTAAATCCCAATCAACCATGTCTTGTGCCTTTCCTAACCCTTTTTTTATCTGATCTTCTTCTCCCTCACCACTGCCCAGGGTGTTTTTTTTTTATCTATGCCTCTAGATGACGTTCTTTGTGTAGTAGACTTTCTTTTATTTTCTAAACTATTATTCTTTTGTTGTGCATACCGATCATATTGGTCCCAATTTTTTACCCAATGAATTGGATTTTAGATTTTTGTGAGGCATTGAACTACATTGGACCAATTCAAACCGATGTAACTGTTTCAACTCGAGCTCTTTGTTACTATTTATCAATTGTGCCAATCATGCTTGCAGGCAAGAATCGACTCGCACAACAAAATTCTTTACGCTCGGCATGCGGATCAGCGGAATGCAACCTTCCAAAGGGTTTTACAGACAGGGAGCGACTTCGATCGTGAAATCCGATCGATGCTACTGAGAGCAAATCTGATCAAGCACGACTATAACCAACGAGGAGGATCTAGGAAAATTTGATCTGTTCTGTTTGAATCTGGGCTGGAAGTTTTTCTTCTTCACTGGCTTTTATTTTATTGTTAGCCATGAGAGGTTGCATAGAGTGGAGACTTAAATTAAAATTGGAAGTGGCATATGAGGTGAATTGTTAGAAGCAAGGCGATACAAAATTGAGGCAAGAATTAAACATTATTGCTTGCTGGCTGCTGGTTCTGTAAATACTGATTGATTTTTCTCAGTTGCAGTTATTGATTCTTCCAGTTTTTCCTTACCCATTCGGATTCCAGGGAAACATGCTTCCTTCTCTTTGCCTCCGAGTTGAATATGCAAAGTAATAAGAATATGTTTATTGTTGCCTTTTAGAATTGTTAATTAAGGGACGTTTAATGTCGTATCATTTTCCTTATGAATGAACGTAGTAAGATCAAGTACGTGGTTGTTTCATAAGAATAATTGATGTACGGGTAAGTCACTAAGTCACTGGCTCATTTGAGGGATTGCTAGTAATATATAAGAGGAAGGTGGAAATGACATTAAGGACCGGAAGGGTCCCTAACCTAATGTGGCAACGGGTTCAGGCTGCAGAGAACCGTAGTATGGGGGGACGTCTAATCCTTTTGCCAGCGCAAAGTTGGCTAATCATACACAATAGGCTCGAAGATCTCTGATTCTGTAAGGCACATGAGTCTGAATGCTATGTTGGATGTGCCACCAACACTACACTATGTATGTAGGTACTTATGCAGGTGAGACATCAATCGGTCCTAGAAACAGTGGTAACGACGCAAGGAGTTAACAACCAAATGTACCTAGGGTTGCTACCAACACCACACTATGTATGTAGGTACCTATGCTGGTGAGACATCAATCGGTCCTAGAAACAGCGGCGGCAACGACGCAGCAAAGAGTTAACAATCAAATGTACCTTGGGATCATCAGGCAACTCCTTGTATCAATAGGGATCGAGGACACGTTCTTAGACCAAAAACATTAAATTTAACAATAATTCATCACCATTAAGCAAAATTCAATATAATTTAATTGGTTAGTTTAAAAAAAAAAAAATCAATTTAAAGGCGGATTAAAATTTTTCCCGCTCGTTAATTTACTTTTATCTCCCACATAATATCATAATTAAGTACTAATACGTGTTAGGAAAATCATCGGCCATTAAATATTGAGGTAAGAGTAAGACCTTTGTTCAGAAGCGTGG